AGGTAAAAGCGATCTAACGTTGAAGGCATTGTCTTATTTCGTGCACGAGTCAAGTATCCACACTTGACACAATTAATATCGAGCGGTCTTTCTATTTTTGTCATTTAGAAAGTAGCTTTAAAGAGAAAAAAAAAAGAAAAGGGTAAAAAGAAAGGGCCATGTGTCTTAGCTCCCTTCGAGAAAAGCTAAGATCTGGGTTTACCTAACGGATTGTCTCTTGTCGTGTTCTTTTTTTTTTTTCCTTTTTACCTCGTTGAAATGCTTCGTGCTCTTAACGTTTCAAGATACACTGATTGTCAGAGAATTTCAAATGGAAAAGTCTATACGCTTCTAAGCAGAACTCTCCTCGACCCTTTGTAAAGGAAACGGAAATGAGAGTATAGATATCCAACCAGTCCGATATAGAAAAGCAAATCATTGTATTCGTATACCTAGCTAAAGTAATTATCTCGAACAAGTAGTCTCTCTTTTTATTACATTATCGGAAATGAAAATTATGTTCGTGCGTAACAAAGAAAAATGACGTGATTAAATTTCCTTTTTTTTGATTTTTCATTTTATTTAGGGTTGTTCTCGTGTTTCTTTATTAACGCTAAACCTATCAGGCGCGGTCAAATGACTATTATCTATAATTTGTAATTATTCAGAAATTTGTAAAACGCATAAAATGTACATTATTAATTTCTATATGAAAAGAAAATGAGAAAATAGTTTGTTCAGAATCCCCAGTATGAAGTATCGGTAGGTTTAGTGTTAATATTGAATTTCTATTACTCTTCTAATACACGTAAGTGAATCGTTTGTGCTAAAATTCGACAACATTGGAAGCACGATATTTTTTTGTTCTAAAAAAGCTGCCTCTATTTAATCACGTACCACTAACAACGACTCGCAGATTTAGGCAACGTAGGACAATCCTCGTACTTGCCCTACAACTACCCGAACTAACGAGCTCTGATGCATTTCCATCGGCTTTGCTTGAGTGACACGTTAAAAAATCATGTCAAGTATTAAGTATTTTGTGTCAATGAGATGTAGAATGAATATCGTTAAACGATACTTCTTCGATTTCGGTTATTCACCAGCGTTCGACAAATTTTTGTCTTTACGTTTGACGTTGTATAATAATTTGTTTAAAAACGTTTATAAATAATCCATTATACTATGATAACGCGTACTTTATTTCTTGATCATAATTAGAAAAAGTAAAAAAGAAATTCTTATCTCATGTTAATACAATTACGTTACATGCATTAAATATCATAGTGCGTTTCAGACCAGCATTAGTTTTTTTCTTTTTTTTTTTTACCGGAAAGGTATTCCCCACAATTCTCGCAATAACAATCACTCCGATGCGTTTGCGTGATATCTTCATTATGACTCACTTTTCTACGCATCCTCGTAATATCATTTATTTTTTTTTTTTTTTGTCACGTTAATATTCTCGTAGGGTGTTTCAAATTACCCCAATGAAATGTTTTCTCAGCAGTACCTTGTATGAACATCATATTTCATTTTATTTCTAATCTAAATATTGATTAGAATGAACGCTTTTAAGGATTATTTGTTACGATCTTTCTTTCACAGATTATTGGAACAAAAGTAATGCATATCAAGATATTTCTCGCAAATTTAACTGTTCTTTTAAACGAAAACTTTAAATATACTGATTTATCGAGATATTTATATACTTTACATTTGTCTATTGTATAGAATATATTTTTAATTACGTTAAATGAAATCAATTTTTTTCTTTTTATCTAGAATAATTTTGAACATTGCGAGTAGGGTAAATTGAAATTCCTTTATTAATAAAATCCCTTTTAATTGTTTTTCACAAACGTTCGCGTGAAAATAAAATTAATTAGTATTTCAATTTATTTTTTTTTTTTTTTTGTTTTAACCAGAATGATCGATGCAACTGATACGATTAATCACGAACGACTCGACAATTATTCAATAAATTTAATCCTATTATTAAAATCGTAGCTAGTAGATCAATGAAATGTAGGTCGGAAAATGAACGATTTGTTAGGTATGGAAAGGTCCACCTTTTTACGGTTAAATTACTTTTTCTCTTCTGCCCTTTGTAATTTTTTTTAAACGAATTAGTTTCATCTATTTCAAATAAAGGTCGTTTGATATAGAGACTATTAAAAATAAATAACATTAAAATTGTAAATCTCGTGAGATTGTAAAATACGATCGTGTCAATAATATCGGTTTAATCGAGATAAATGTTTAATATTTCTGATAGTATCTCCTGGAGGATGGGCATCATTTATTTTTTTTAAAATATTCTCAATTATTCACGTAATCCGACCAGTTAATCCGCTAACTTTTTCATTAATTATTTTAGAAGAAATTTTCTGCTAAAAAAAGAATAGTAATACCTTAATTTTCTTTTTTTTTTTCAAACAACAAATTAGCGTTGAAAAGTATCGTAAAAATGTATATTTTGTAATTAAAGACTTTAAGTTGACAACTTGAAGATCGAATGATATGAGAAAAGAAGAAAGTTTAGAACTTATTAACACGAGATTACAGGATGTTATAAAAATAGGTATAGCATATAAAAATTTGTAGAACTGGAAGGAGTGGGGAAGGGGTAGGAATTAGTACACTTAAATACATTTAATAATTCTATTAAAAACCAACATATTATACATTTTGAACAAATATTATTTAAATTTTTCTAAATATACATATACCAATATAAAATTATAAAACAAGTTAAATTGATTGACATCCAGTAATCTAATGTTAAACGCTATATAATATTGAACTTATATGTTATATATATATATTTTTTTTTAATTCAGAAAGCAACAAGCGCGCCGCCTAGTAGAATGAAAACGTAGGACTTATTATTTTTATTCTTTCGTTCATATATCTTTCGATGAAACTATGAAACCTAATGGATGGATGATGGTTTGGTTGATCATAAGCTAGAACACATTCCACTGTTCGATGAAAAGGCTTCGTATGTAACATATATGGTACAGTTATGCGATAGCATCATTTAACTCGAGCCTTTAGGGTCATTCGAATGAACTGTTCATAGTAGTCACTGCTTTATCGACAGCACGGTACATCCGCCACTCGAGCTTTCTGTGCTTTCAAGCTTTCCCGTTGGAATTTGCCGGCGTTGGTCCGCTACTGTTCATTCGTTCTATCTCTCCATCATACATGAGAGAACATGCGAACGCCATTGTCCATTATTTCGCATAGTTATGAGAATGAGAATACATGTGAGCATGTAATATGAGCAAAAGGTATATACGAAGATACAACGAAAATCTTATTTTATTTTATGCATCGCAATATCTTGATGCTTTTCATGAACAAAACTTGGACTATAATAAACATATTTTAGGGGAATTTTTTTACAAGAAATTTTTCTTATCTTTTTTCTTTTTGATATTCGTCTTGGACGACCTTCACCCTCCTCGTCATTTTACCATGTATATATGCGATTCTTTTCTTATTCATGAGAATCGTCTGACATGTGTAGGAAAAACATGTATTTCCTCTTGGGAAATGTGTGTGTGTGTGTGAGAGAGAGTGAGAGTGAGAGAGAATGAGAGAAGGAAAAAAGGGAACGATCAAGGGAGCTGATGATCCATAGAAGAAATTGAAAAATTTATCCAACCAATTTCTCCCTTAATATTCATCTTTCGGAATACGGGATACAAATGAAATATTCACGATAGGGAAAAAAGTAACTTAAACGTTTCCCACGCGATCTTCAATTCGTTTATTATTTTATTCGAAATGTCTACTTTTCGGTACATTGTTCGTAATAATTCGTGGAAATAATTGATAATTGATAGTTAGGTATTGAATTCAAAAAGGGTAGCAGGATACCATTTGGTTGGATTCATTAAGCGAATTATATTACATTGCTCTATGTGCCAACGGAAGAATACAAATGTAATTAACACTAATTGCAAATGAGTATGAATTAAAAAAAAACATATTATTATAATATTAATTAACTTGTCATTATATTCAAATAACGTTAGATGCATTTATACTTAACTATTGAAAATAATTAAACGCTAGATTAGATTATCGAAATGAATCATTCATTCAAATGGTATTCTCTACTTTATTTGAGAATAATTAGGCAAAGTTTTTTATACTTTCAATCGTTCATCTAGTTGATCGTTCAAATTGATCTTATTACAAGAAATAGGAAAAATTTCATGATCGTTCTTTACTTGGGACAATTTTATCTCTCAATGCTTCAGATATTTCGATAAATGGTTGATCAAATTGGGAAACTTTACGCGCTATTCCTAGATTTCTAAAGCGCAAGCTCCACCAACCGAGTTTCCGTTTGCACTGCATAGAATCGATGATACATTTCAGGCATCCATTCATCTCTCAAGCCTCATGTAACATTACATTATCTGATAGAGTATCTTAAAAGACATCATTGTGAGAATCAAATTTATCCAAATACAAGTAACTTGCAAACATTTATTATCATAATATAAAACAATTATACGTTTAACAGAATAAGCAAAATTGTTATTTCTTTTTGCTATTTTGCTAATGAACAAAAAAGGAAAAGAAAAGAACAAACGATATTCATTTTGAACGGTGGTTAGGGTTTAGGGTCGGAAAGAAAATCATCAACGATTGTTAGCAAATTGAGATTAGAAATAATGCAACAAATACAATACGTACGTATGCATATATACGGAGAAGAAAAACAATAAGCTGAAAGAAGGGGTTGCTTTTATTCGTTTCTGTGGCGCAATCGCCTTGACAACTGCGGCGCCACGTGCATATAAGTGGATGTATGTGTGCGTGATAATATAACGTTAGTGTGTGTTTTTAGGTGAGATAGAAAGATAAGTCAGAAATAGATATATAAAGAGAGAAAGAAAGAAAGAGAGAAAGGGTCTCTTGGTAAGGAGAAAAAAGGAGAGGAAAACGAAGGGTAGGAAAGGGAAGGGTAGGGGGTAGATAGGAAGGTAGGAGGGGTGGTAGGAGAGAAGGAGGGTGGTTAGATGGGTGGTGTGCGCGGGAGACGAGATTCAACCACGAGAGAAAAGCTCTACAATGTACCGCAGTACGGGATAGCGAGTCAGACAACTCTCGTGGTGGTGGTGGTGGTGGTGGTGATGATGATGGTAATGGTAATGGTGGTGTGAGAAAAGCAAGCAGCCATCTAGGAACACGACATATATTATTGGCCCAACAACTCACACGCAAGGAAAAGAACAACGAGTTTGTAGTGCATAAGAATTTTTTCATAGGGCCGGCCAAAACGTTTGATCCCGAAATTCGGCCATTTCCAAATTTCTCAGTTAATTTAGAATCAATTCGGAGTCAATCTAGTACTTTTCTGTTCTTGTCCACGAAACTATATACTCGTACACGAGCTCTCTCCCTTCCTTCCCCCCCATCCTCACCCTCTCACTCTCTCACTCTCTCTCTCTCTTTACGTGTGTATTTCTCTCTCAAAGCATCGACGTTGTTTCGATCCAAAGCTTTTAGCTGGCTTCCGCCCTTTGCCTCTCTCGTGACTGTGAGTGTTTAGAAGGAAGATTCCTCTTTTGGCATAGTTATAACGATAAATGGGACAAGTGACAACGAGGTAATGAAGATGTAAACTTAAGGACACTATTATTGGTTAATCAAAAGAATAATCACCCCTACGGATCTTATTTATAAAATTTACTTTTTATATTCTCCGTTATGCGTGTCATCCTATAAGAATTATTTTTTTTTTTGTTCGATTAATCGATTGGTAAGACAGAAGGTGAGAAATTACAAGGAACAATCAACGTGAATCTCGAGGATTACGTGTAATCGTAATATATAAAAAAAAAGAATGTTTTTCTACAATCAGTTTGGAGTATAGATCGTCAACGTCTGACTTTTGGATTCGTCACACAGTGACACAGAAAATAAAAAAAAAAAAATCAAGGCACGCTGTTTAACTGGGACATCTTCATATATCTAATACGCATATACATATATAAAAGAGCAAACCTTTTTTTCAAATCGTTGGTAATTATTGTTGATACTTATATTTAATAAGATTAATACAGTTGTTGTTATTATTGTTACGAGAAAAAAAGTAATTTAAATTCGTTGGGAGGAAATGGTTAGGGTGGGACGTTGAGCATGCCTCGGCCAACTATGAATGAACGTTTCCAAGCAACGTGGTGGTGTGGTGGTGATCTACGTAAGAATCAAATCGCGTGAGCGTGCGTTTGGCAAATGTGTTTGCATTAGTTGCATCAACGTTATCGGAGAACAAGTATAATTTAACATTAAATACGGTAAGAACGTCGAAGTCGTTTTTGCTGCCGGCTGACCGTGACCTTCGCTCTATCTCACTCTCTCTCTCTCTTTTTCTCTTACTCCCACTGTTGAACGAGCACCAAGCAAAGCATTTTATGACGTATCCAGGTCAGTAGCGGAAAACGACGAAGTAAATTACCGTTTTCTCAGTATCCTCGGTGTTGACGTACGGTACGGATCGTCGACAAAAAAAAAAAAGAAAAGAACCGCAGTAAGATCATCAATTGCAAGATCAGTATTCTGTCGTATTTCTGACCGCCATGATCCCCTTTACAAAATGATCTCCTCTATAGTGCCGAAAAGAAGGTGTGCGCGCGCGCGCGCCCCCCCAACTAACACCACATTGTCCCAGTCGTCCAAAAAACACACGCGCGAATTTTAATAGGAGAAACCAAACCGATGAAAAACGTTGAATAATATATTTTCTATCCTTGTGTGATCGCGAAGACAGATTATTTATTTAATCTATCTCGTAACGGTGTTAACGAGTTGTGGACATTCTATTTCTCGTGAATAATGGTTGAAAAAAATGATGAGATAAATCGTTTAAACGTTCGATATTATTAATAGCACGATTTTTTGTAGATAACTTATTTAACGCGTATGTCAACTGAAATAAGATTTGTTATAAGATAATTTGCTCGTCTTTTATAATTGCATAAGATTTGTTAACAACTGATATTGTTTTTATCATACATTAACTAAAGAAGAACTATATTTGATGTGAAATTGTTCAAGAATTTGCATACTTTCTTACGAAGGATTTACGATTGTAATCCGGTTAATCTAATCGTTGAAATATCGAAGATAGTTATTGTTGAATTAGGGCATCGTCGTGTTACTTTGTTGCGTGCCCACCCAACCCCCCCAATATATTCTTGTTGAAAACCGTATTTGCATTAAAAGTTTGATAAATTAAGGACGACCGTGGGAATTTGATGTTAGCTTTATTCGTCTTCGGTAAACGTAAGATATTCGATTCGATAATTCTAACACGTACGAGATTACTATTCAGATAGTAAAAGTATTTCATGAATGTTAAAGCTCAATTTTTAAACGAACGGAAGAAGAAAAAAGAAAAAGAAGGCAAGGGGACACATTAATAATGTTTTACGAATAGTTTTATCAGTATATGTGTGAAGGAACGATAATAAATATAAATGAGATCGTTAGCACCTTATTTCTCGGTTTATCTCGTACGAATGATCGATCAGAGTTATTTGAACAAATTGAAAATTTCCTTGTTAGGATCGTAGAGGATATAAATCTAGTTTTTATGGAAATTGGATGAAAACGAATGTGAGTTACGGGCAAGTAATAATACGTCATTGTCATACATTATTTCTCCCCTCGCGTTCTATCATTCGAAAATATTTTCTTAAATAATCGAAACTTATTAGATTTTAAAAAAAAAAAAAAAAGGATAAGGATAAAAGAAATAAAAAAAAAATAACATAAATAAGATAATATAAGTAGGAAATCGTGATAAAACGTAAAGATAAACGTAAATAATCCAAGAAAAAAAAAAGAAAAGAAATAAGAGAATAAGAAAGGGGAAGGGAAAAGCTCGGTGAGAAAAAAGGCTCGAGTTTCCGAGTGAGTTTCATCATGAAAGGAAGCGCTACGTGCGATCGATGTAATCGATGCCCGGATCAAAGAACAAATTGGAGAAACAGAAGAGAGGACCGCCTAAGATCGAGATATCTGTCACGGGGTTATCGAACGAGGAGAGCAAAGTGAGGTTAACCAGAAGGATTGATAAAAATAAAGATGAGGAGGAAACGATTAGATCAAATAGATCTAACGAATCAACGATAGGACAGATAATCGGGTTATTGAAGAAACGTAAAAAGCCTCGGGACCCATTACCGGGTGCTAACGCATCCTCAACGGTACCTTTGCTCGAAATGGGAGCTCGAGGATGGGATTATGAAGCTTTACCGGAATTGCATAGTTCAACTGCGGTTACGCCAACCTCGACACCACCTAATGCTCAACAAAAGGCACACTCACCTAAGGTTTATTTTCAAACTGATAATTTGGCTTCTACGAGAAGACGAAGTAGTTCGAGATTAATCGTACCCCAGACGTCATGCAGAAGACGAAGTCGAAGCATGAGCGCGTGGAGCGATCTATCTAGGTCATCTTTCAGATTGGACGAAAGGTATATTATTAATATCAATTATTTGTTGATAATTATTGTGTTATATTATATAGATTTCGTATGGATCGTAACAATGCATATATTACGATATTTTCAATCTTTTAAACGATATACTTGACCTAATCTCTCTACAGATTTCTTTTTTACTCTTATTTTTTTCCATGCAATTCTATTTTTTCATCGTCGCAGTATACCGTTGTTATTATTTTTCATGTCTTTTTTAAATTTGTATTCAATATATAAAATATTATTCACGAATTCGGTGAACTTATAAATCGATACGCGATTTTCTGTTGAAAATAATGAGTTGTTTCGTGAGACTTCAGGTTGCTATAGCGTATTGATTTGCGAAAAAAATAAATAAAACGGATCAAGTGAGGATTATCCCTTTCGTATGAATCGTGCGTACGATTTCGTTACGTTCATTTTCCCATATCGTCAAATATTTACATCGATTTATCGAATGTCCATTTACTCGTTTTATTATTAAATTCCCGTTATAATTAGTTACTAACTCGAAACGAGAATGACTCGTCTGCAATGCATACATTTATTTCCTTGTTTCTTTTTGTTTTTTAAGATTTTTTTTTTATTAAATATATAAATATAATATTTGTCAATATTAATGAGTTTATCCCGATTATTTTAATAAATAAATAAGTAAATAAATATTTATTCGATGCACGGTCGCGATAATCTCCATTTAAAAATTTACAAAAATCATAGTACGTACATTTATTTTTATTTCTTTTTTTTATTTTTTTTTTATAAACTAATTAAAATTCCGTAATGTTTTATGAATCACTCGTTTAAATTGCTTTTTCGTATTTAGTTCCAGTATACATAGTATTTAACATTTTAATTTCAATCATGCAATAACTTTTCAATGAATAGATAACTTCTTGAAAATATTTAACGAGATGTAAATAAATAATAATAATTAACTTTTAGCATTCTATTAAATTACAACGATTACTTCATATTTTTACGATTAATTGTAAGTGAAAATTAAAAGTAGTTCATCTTGTTAAATTTAATAAGAAAATTAATTTAGATAAGCCTTTAATACTTGATCAAGAATTTTCATTATCCTTTAAGCAAGCTATTACTTTAAGAATACGGGATGCATTTCATTTAGGATTACATCCATCTCGCTTTTATTATGACGTAAAACATTTTTTTTTATTTTCTTTTTTTTTTTTTTTTTTTGTAAATAACAGTATTTATGTATAACGCCGGGTATCATTTCGATCGTATAACTGGAAAAGTTCTTTGAAAAGAAAAGAAACCTTGACATTCATTTCTTTCCTTGAAAAAGTAACCTCCGCAATGATGCATTATACAGTAAATATATATATATATGTTTGTGTGTGTAATAAATGTACTATTTTACAGAAATCGGAGATAAGTTGAATCGATTATAATAGCTCACTTTATCATCGTTATGTTCGTGAAAATAACAGTAAAGAAAAGTAATAATAAATTAGCTTAGAAATATAGATCTATTTAAAGGTCCTTGGGATGCATCATAGACGTGACTGACTATGTGTTATTTTAAAAAAGATATATATGCATATACGTACATATAAATTTTGTAATATGACCATATTCAAAGTGAAGAACAAGATGAGACAGATTTTTGGGTGGTATACTTAATACTGACATTAATGGGGTATCGAGTTTCCTATTATCGGTCGACCTACTTTGATAGATTGAAATAGGGTATTTCGAACTATTAAAATTTTGTCTAAATATTTTTTTATATTTCGTGCATTTAATCTATAAATTCTATCGTCAAAGAGAATTTTTTTACTTTCATTCCGAAATGTGTAAATAATTATGATAATGATTTATTTGTTAAATCAAAAAATTAAACAAATTTATTTTATATATATATATATATATATATGATTTATTTTCAAATAATTTATAAAATTTAATTTTCCAATTTTATCGATCATAATTTTATCGGTACGAATTATATTAAAAGTAATTCTATTTATTTCTATTAAAATTATACTTATATTAATTCACACACACACACATTTATTTTAGGTATGAAATATATTCTCGTTATGATTACAATTACCAGTCGCAAAATGAAATTCTACTGTTAAAAAGGTGCAATCGTTTATATCGTATTTATATTATTCGTCTTGTAATTAATTTCTAAATTAAATATTCGTATCTCGTCACAGGAAGAAGCATTTAATTATTGAGAGAAAAGATTATTATTTTATAAGATTATTATTTGAAAATAATTTATATAAAAATCCTGTATTATTTATTCCAGGTAAGTGGCAAATCATAATAAGCGGATTTCGTTAAATACCTGCCACGTGAGTACACTTTCTTTCTCGATATTCAATTATACGAGAGATAATGAGTTAATTATAAGAAAAAAAAATCAATTTTATTTCCACTTTATTATTTCATGTAAAAATGTAAAAATCATTAAGAAAGCAGTAAAATGCAGTGGAGCACTCAAGGTCTTATAGATTTATAATATATTTATTTTTATAACGTCTAGTGTGTGTTTCTCTCACGAAATGGAAGAAAGCTGTTTGCATTGAATATAATGCAAGGAAGGTGTGTGTTTTTAAAGTAAATTGTAACTCGTCATTCGCATCTTCCAAATGGAAACGTTGAGTTAACACATTTTTCACTTGTACGTTATATACAACGCGATCTACTAAACTAGAATATATTTTGTGATGTACGAAAAGTATATAAAAAAGGAAAAAGAAAACATCTCAGGAAATTATCTTGTCAATAACGCACATTCGTATAGAAAATAAACATCCATTTTGGCAATGCACCAAAAAGAAATAAACCATTTAAGAAACTATCGTTTGCATAAGTTATCATCACGTATCATTTCCATAAATTTTCGATCGACAATGAAACTGATAACTCCGCGTACTCGTTCAAATTTAACTCTGCAAAGTTTCGATGCACGTGTTACATAAATGCATTTTTTGATAATTGAAAATAAAGATAATCGGTTAACTAACATTAGTTTCTATTTCACGTGTCGCATTTGAATTTTAAAATGTCGAGATAACACAATAGAGATACTATTCTCTCTTGCAATTGCAACAAAGTTTTTTACTATCCCGAGTATTTCGCGTAAAATACAAATTCAAGATTTAGATAAGTTTAGAACGAGGTTTTCGAACTTATGTTTAGTGTAACGTTGGTCCATCCAAAAAGTTTATTCGAAATAAAGTTAGTTCGATAAACTTTCGTGAAATAATTTCATGGTGTGTTAACATTTTGACGGCAATGCGTATTATATACTGTAAATCAATAAATAGTACTCTCAATTTTCAACGCATTTCAATTTTTTGTTTTATACGATATATATTTTTATCTAACATAAAATACGCAACAATTGATTTGTTTTACGTAAAGTTTTACAACATTAATCCAATGTTTGCATTTTATTTTCTTTTTTTTTTTTCTTTTTTAACATAACTTCGATCGATAATTTAAAAACGCTTGCCGATGAAACTCTCTGGTTTTTTCTTTTTTAATTTTTATATATAACCAGTAATTTTTTTTACGCTTAATGACTACTTTATGAAACAAAGGATCAAGTATTTTCTTTACGTAAATAAGCGCATCGCGCTTTGGCCTGATTAGAAAAAAAAAAAAAAAAAAAAAAAAAAAAAATAACTATCTATATCGTTGTGAAGGAAAGATTATCGATTAGTATGCTAATGGACTAACGAGTATACTAATTAACGAAGACCTAGTTCGTCAGTATAAAAGATAGACATCGTCATTACGAGTACTTAGCTGTAATCTTACTCTAATTATGATAATGATCCATCAGCAATTAGTATAGTTTATATATTTTGTTATTATAAGGAAGCTTTATTTAAAAAATCTAAGTTTCTTTTTACTTTTAAAATAAAATATACGTAAGTCGCGCGTCATATCAAAAATATTTTATTCAGTTTCAAATTATAATGTCCAAATTCTGGAAACCTTCGGTTAAAGTTTATTTTTTAATTAAAATATAACACTGCGCGCCACTGGAGATACTTATCAACAGTTGGAATCCAAATGTTCTTTCGATATTTTGCTTGTACACGTTAATCATGCGATCTAAGAAATTGCAATGACATTTTATCTCTGTTGGTAAAGTAGTGGGTATAGTTTTCTCACGACACATGACTTTTTTCCATCATTCAAGGTGTCCCATTTGACGATAAAAGCTTTTCTTTCCTTACGTTCTGTTTTACCGACCGCGCTGATAAAACTTCGAGTGCTTTCGTTTAACTTCTCATAGATGTTCGGTCAAAAAAGCTTCCCACTTGCAAAGATTTATTTGTAGAATTTTCTATCATTTCTAGGCTTTTACACATTATTTTTTTTATTTTATTATTTATTATATTATTGATATAATCGTAATTATTATTATAGTTTGAGCTAATAGCAAAAGCTCATTTCTCCAATTATTTGTCTTTTTAAACTTTTATCTTTAAATTATTGACATTAAATAATTACCTCAAGATTGGAAAATAGGAGATATATAATAAAAAAAAATACTAACAGAAAAATTGTAACACGAGTCATATTTAATTTGACAATACGTAAAAAGCTCGTTACTTTGGCGAATCAACTTGTTCAGCTATAACGAAGAGATTAATGGGGTAATATTTTTGGACGATGATAAAAACGTGTTTATGTATTAAAATAACGATTGTTCTAAAGTGCTTTTTATTATAGGAAAGATAGTAAAGAGATTATATCATATTCAAAACGAAAACTCTTGTTTCATTTTTTTTTCGTCTAGTAACCATTGAAAAAAACAACAAGATTTAATTGCTAACAATTTTCATTTTTTTTTTGTTTTACAAAAGCAGACACATATTTTTTATTATTGTATTATTATACGCGATAAAAATAGTAAAAATGTATTTTTATATATTTATCTATTGCAAAAGTTTATTTCAAGTTTTCTATCTGTTACATGAATTAACAATTGCAATAGTGCAAGTTGCATTAACATGAGAAAAACCAAATCAAGTAGGTGGATTTATTTATACCATTAACTTTTCTGCCCATTTCTAAAGTGACATTGCTTACTCATTGCATATTAATTCATTTGTAATGACGAAACAATATCAAATTAAGGGCTTTAATGTAGTTCATTCATAATTGAGGAGAAATAGAGGTACATATCCGTCGGTAATGAGGAAGGAAATGAGAAAGAAGATCATTAAAATCCTTTCTACGCCTACTGAAAAGTCATTGGGTGTATAAAAATACCGTTAGTTAACTCAGGGATGACACATAAATGAGGTGGCTATTTGATATTTCAAAATAAGGAATGAAATACTTGACTAAGCTTTTATTTCAGATTATGTTTTCTTTTTTTCTTTTTTTTTTTTTTTTCGATACTCGCACGTGACTCGATTTTTACGAGGGTTTTGTTAATCGATAAAATAATGTTTGATGGTTCTTCATAAAAAAAAAAAATTACAACTAGAATTCCGCAACATATGCTAGAATACTAATTTGATTGTTCCATTGTTTGCTTGTATCGTATGATTTTGTACATGTTAAATTCTAAACGAATGTGTGGAAACAAAAATGTAAGAAGTTAGGTATTTAATTATTTTCTCAATTTCTCTCCATGAGTTAAAAATGATTAAATTTTCGTCAATGGGAAACGTAATATCGTTTTTTTTTCAACCGATACCCATAGGGTAAACCACTTTGATGTAAAAAGTTTAATATACCAATGACTTTCTATAAATACTATAGAAATTGTGTTGACGAATGAATATGATCGAAATTCAATTTTTTTTTTTTTTTTCAATATACTTTGGCAAACGTTTACGTGCGTAACTTACGACGGTGTCAAATAAAAATTTGCCGTGTCATGTCACCTATAAAAAAAAAAGGGACGGTAGTTTGTATAGGATTACCTATAACTGATTGCATATTAAAATTTATATTTCATACATACTTTAAAACAGTCGAATTAAATAAAGTTCGTTAAGCAGTTTTAATTCGCAACGAGTAATCTCGTTTGTAATTTATAATTGATAACGTGACGAAATAAAAAAAAGAAAAAAAGAAAGAGAGAGAATTATAATTTCATAATAAATAATGAAAAATATGATATGAAAAATCATGTTACACGCTACGATGACACACATTAATTATGTAAGAAGAGGAGGAGAATATACAACACTTGAAATTCATCTCATTTATTATTCGATATATATATTTTTCTTTTTTCTATTAACGCGATTAATTATATTCCTGTACGTACCTACCTGTATCACGGTTCGTTTTTTTCCCTTGCTCGAATTAACTTAGAGAAAAATTGTGAATATTTTTCTAATTCGCGTTAGAAAAGAAACATCGCGAAACGTTTAATAAGTAATATGTATTTAACTTTAGATCCCTTTAGAGAAACAAAAGTCTTTAATTTTCCTACTAAACTTTGACGTTGATTTTGGATTTCTTTATGATAAACCTTAACAAACTTTCGTAGTTTGTTTAATGTAAGTTTACTATCTTTTCCCTCTGTTCCTTTCCCCGTTCATTTACCTCTTAACGAAGTTTATTTCTTATCTTAACTGATCGAAACGATGGTTTGATATTGATAAGAGAAACGATCTAACCGAACGGGAAGGTTGTTTCTTACCGTGACTATAAAGTTACCCAAGCAGAATGAAATTAAATGATGAATTAATTTCGGTCAAATGAGATTCGAATTGTCTTTTATAAAATTTCTCAATTCTTTTTGCTATTTCTTCTTGTATAAAACATCAAACGTAATATTCTGTATTAAACGAATATTTTTTTTTCTTTCTTTTCTATAGATAATAAATATAGCATTTGATGAAAAATCGTTTATTCAAATAGAATATGAATTTTTGATTTTTCATTTTAACGTAGGTATACGAGGACTGTAAAATCCAATCCTATCTTTTCTTTTTCTTTTGCAAATCGTCTTCTCGGCAATACGATTTATTATCTTCTCCACGATATGACCGTACTTCGCGACGACCCTGTCGAACCTTTGGGGAATAAGAATAAAAAAAAAAGAAAATAAGAAAAAGGAAAAAAGAGCCGGGAAAATGATTGAGAGGACTTCGGGAGAAGAAGAAAAAAAAAGAAAGGAAAAGGGGAAAAGGTACGTGAAAACGGTTTCGTAGCGAAGTTTCAAGTAGTTAGGGTATTCTGGTCTTAATACAAAAAAGAAAAGGTTCGTACCAATTTGACAAAAGCTCGGATTGATTACAAATCGTTAAGGAGAACGAATCGTGTCGTGAATTCGATGATTCGAAAAAAAAGAAAGAATAAATAATCTAGGAATAGCTAGTAGTAGTAGTAGTAGTAGTAGTAGTAGTAGTAGTAGATCGAACGAAGAATCGAATTGCATAAAACGTACGTTTTTATCATATTTAAATCGTATTTTCTGAACCACTTTATAGAATCTGGTTAACCGTTAGCTGAATGTTTGACCAAATAATGCAATGAAGCGGAAATATAAGAGTTAGAATGAAGAAGTCTTGCACACGTGTATATCTTTTTAAACTATTTCGTTACACGATGTTGGAAAGAGGTAGAAAAGCATAAAGGCAACAAAAGGAAGAAGTAGGTCGAGTTTTCTGAGCATACTTATGAATTTTAAGCGTAGGTATATTTGCAATGAACGAGTTACTTCATCATAACCGTTTTACTTATTTCTGATTATGTTTAAAAAAAAAAAAAAAAGTTTCTAACCCGTTGTACCATACATTAGGACGATATTTTTTTAAACGAATA